GCAGCATTATGGCTGCACAGAGGCTCAGCCTGTGAAAGCCTGCAAAGAGCCCAACACCATAAATGTGTTATGAATATGTGTTTCAAAATTGTATAAGATTTCTAAAAAGTTGATATATCTTGGTACATGTAGTGAATTGCTTTAATCTGATGTTTTGGCCGGGCGCGGTGGCTCAAGCCTGTAATCCCAGCACTTTGGGAGGCCGAGACGGGCGGATCACGAGGTCAGGAGATCGAGACCATCCTGGCTAACACGGTGAAACCCCGTCTCTACTAAAAATACAAAAAAACTAGCCGGGCGAGGTGGCGGGCGCCTGTAGTCCCAGCTACTCGGGAGGCTGAGGCAGGAGAATGGCGTAAATCCGAGAGGCGGAGCTTGCAGTGAGCTGAGATCCGGCCACTGCAGTCCAGCCCGGGCTACAGAGCAAGACTCCGTCTCAAAAAAAAAAAAAAAAAAAAAAAATCTGATGTTTTCTGCATAGAGCTTTTAGCTCTGTGCAAATCCTGGAGTGTTACGTCTTCAAGGATATTCATGGAAAGGACCAGGAATTGTACTCTTGAATAGAGGTTTCTGATAGCTTTGTAGATCATATCATTAGACTATGTAAAAGCTTACAGAACACTAATAAAAAACTGGTGTGTTCATGAAGATCACTAATTGTGTTAGTCCATTGCACTGCTATAAAGAATACCTGAAAGAAAGTGTAATTTTTAAAGAAAAGAGGTTTAATTGGCTCAAGGGTTCTGCAGGCTGTACAGGAAGCATGGCTGGAGAGGCCTCAAGAAACTTTCAATCATGGCAGAGGGGAAGCAGGCACATCTTACATGGCCAGAGCAGGAGAAAGAGAGAGAGAGGAGGTGCTACACACTTTTAAACAACCAGATTTCATGAGAACTCACTCACTCTCGTGAGGATAACACCAAAGGGGAAATCTGTCCCCACAACCCAATCACCTCCCACCAGGCCCACCTCCAACACTGGGATTACAACTTGACATGCGATTTGGGTGGGGACACAGATTCAAACCATATCACTAACTCAACATCAAGCAGAACAAGAATTAATTACATGGGACTGAACTGATGGAGAAGTGAAATGATTTTTATATTTTTTTGTTTGAAACATTGCTGATTCTTTTCATGTTTTGTTTTGTGGAGTCAAGAAAACTTTATTTCTTTTGAGCTACTTGTAAGTCACAGAAATTGGGTAAAATATACCTTTATTTATTTTTTAAACAGAGTTTTGCTCTTGTTGCCCAGGCTGGAGTACAATGGTGTGATCTCGGCTCACTGCAACCTCTGCCTCCCGGGTTCAAGTGATTCTTCTGCCTCAGCCTCCCAAGTAGCTGGCAGCTGGCATTACAGGTGCCTGCCACCACACCCAGCTAATTTTTGTATTTTTAGCAGGGGGGTTTCACCATGTTGGCCAGGCTGGTCTCAAACTCCTGACCTCAAGTGATCCACCCTCCTTGGCTTCCCAAAGTGCTGGGATTACAGGCATGAGCCACTGCACCCAGCCTAAAATACACTTTTGTGAGTAAATTGAGACATTTACCTTTCTCTCTACCTGATTTCTCCAGAATTCAGAAACTATTTGTGTGTTTTCTTACATTATGGCAATATAGTTATTTGCACAAGCTCAGTAAGAATCCATTTTTTTTTTTTTAACAGGACACAATTGGAGACGCTGTTTTTTTTTAAACCACCATTTGACTGGAATGACGTATTTTCTGATATGACCAGATTGCTTTAAATAACTGAAGTTGACTTATAAAGCCGATAGACATGGGGAATGACCAGCCTGGTACCTTGTCTACACAGTTCCCTTACAAGGTTCCTGACCTTGTGGTAAGAAAAGAATATCAGTTTCTGGCCAGGTATGGTGGCTCACACCTGTAATCCCAGCACTTTGGGAGGCTGAGGCAGGAGGATCACGAGGTCAGCAGTTCAAGACCAGCCTGGCCAAGATGGTGAAACCCTGTCTCTCCTAAAAATACAAAAAAATTAGCCAAGCATGTTGGCAGGAGCCTGTAATCCCAGCTACTCTGGAGGCCGAGGCAGAGAATTGCTTGATCCCAGGAGGCAGAGGTTGCAGTGAGCTGAGATTGCACCACTGCAGTCCTGCCTGGGTGACAGAGCGAGACTCCGACTTAGAAAAAAAAAAGGATATCGGTTTCTGACAGGCACAGGGACCTCAAGATATTTTGAGACCTAGAAAAGAGAGAAATTTATATAGTTTGTACAGGTATGACGGGTACAGTCTGATGGTGAATCCTAGGCTTGGTCACTGCACTCCAGGCTGGGTGATGGAGTGAGATTCTGTCTCAAAAAAATGAAAAAATTAGCTCGGGGTGATGGCGCACAACTATAGTCCTTTTTAATCAGTGTTCTCACACACACACTTTTGGACGCTTGGCTGATTATCTCTTTAGGATGAGCCTGTGGAAGGGCGCTCACTGGGTCACCGGATGTACTCACAATGTGCTCCTTACTTTTCTGGCTGTGAGTCCCTTCCCTTAAAGTTCTCATTACCCCAGGCCCCCCAGGGTGATCTTTTGAGAAAAAGGCCTGTTCCTGTCTTATCCTGTGTAAAACTTGCAAGGCTTCCCATTGCCTGCAGGGAAAGGTCCAAACTTCATCCTGGCCCAGCCTCTTGCCAGCCTTGGTGCCGCCCACTGGCTGGAGCACCACATCTCCACTTGGCGTTGAGTTCATCTGAAAAATGGGGACAGATTACACCATTCCCTTCACATTGCCAAGTGGCTAAAGAAGTGAGGAATTTAAGCATTTAGCACAGAGTCCGCCTCTCTGTAAGTTCTTTCACAGCCTTCAGAGCTGAGATCCCCGAACAGAGATTTGCCCATGTATTTATTAACAGCAAACCAGTCATTAGTATTGTTTCTATAGATGTTAAATTAACTAAAAGTATCCCTTATGGGAAATGAAGGGATGGGCCGAATTAAAGGAATAGGTTAGGCTAGTTAACTGCAGCAGGAACACACTCATAAAGACACAGATCGTTCATGCTTTTGTTTGTAGCTTAAGAATGCCTTTAAGCTGTCTTCCGCCCTGGGTGGGCCAGGTGTTTCTTGCCCTTATTCCCGTAAACCCACAACCTTCCACCCCCTAGCGTGGGCGTTAGGGCCACTATTAACATGTTACAGCACTGCAGAGATTTTGTTTATGGCCAGTTTTGGGGCCAGTTTATGGCCAGATTTTCGGGGGCTTGCTCCCAACCCCCCATTTTGAGTCCTTAATCTGTATTATCAGTAAATAACGTTCTTTTCAAATGATTGACGTAACTCCTGCAAGCTCTGCCTACATCTGCCCACTGGCAATTGACACTTTGTCCAAGCCCCACACAGGAGCACTTACAGTGGAGTGTACTAAGAAAGGGTATCTCTTAGTCTTGGGCCGCAGAAGGGAAATCGATATTTTAGTTCCGATAGGAAGGATGGGGAGGAGTTGGCCAGGACAAAAGTTGGGGCCCAAGTTAGGCAAGCTGAAGGAAGAGCCCAGGGCAGCTCCTGCATGGGTCCAGTTCCCTAGGTGGTATGAAGCTTAGTAAGCAAGGGGCTAAGGAAGCCACTGGGGCAGAGCCACATGAGCAGGATTGGCAGAGGGAGAGGTGAGGATGGCAAAGCAGGCAGGAAAGGGTGGAGGGCGCTGCGGGTTAGGCAAGGAGTTCAGACAGTCGAGGAATGATGGAAAGCCAATGGGGGCAGCTTTGCTTTGGGATCCAACAATGACTGTTGGTACCCAACTCTGCCATTTACTAGGTGAGGGACCAAAGACAAGTTATGTTCTCTGAGCCAATTTCCTTATCTGTAAAATGAGAATAATAATTGTACCTTCTTTGGTGGTGAGGACTCAGTGCAATGATGTATTTGTAAAGGGCTCTGCATGTCCTCTGAACTCAGCAAATGTTAGCCATATATAAATAAATGCAGATTCTGGATCCAGCCCCCAAAGTAAGGAAAGACTGGTCCTCAGGTGCCCTTGCTGGAAAAAGCGGGATGGAAAAAGTGGGATTCTTTTATTTTTTGTAGAGTCTCGCTCTGTCATCTACGATGTAGTGAGTGGCGCGATCTCAGCTGACTGCAACCTCCACCTCCCGGGTTCAAGCAATTCTCCTGCCTCAGCCTCCCGAGTAGCTGGAGCTACAGGTGCACACCACCACACCCAGCTAACTTCTTTTGTATTTTAGAAGAGATGGAGTTTCACTGTGTTGCCCAGGCTGGTCTCGAACTACTGAACTCAGGCAATCCGCCCTCCTCAGCCTCCCAAAGTGCTAGGATTACAGGCATGAGCCACCGTGCCTGGTCATGATTCTTGATAAAGTGGCTTTGTAGGATTCTTGTCTAAAACTCGGCTCACCAGGCCGAGACAAGGCATAGTTGAAAGGAGGATGCAAAGGAGCCTGACTCCACTTTAGGAGAGATGCTTGTCAGCTGTTCTATCCTTAGCATCCAGAAGTAAGTGGCACACAGTGGGACTTCAGTCAATCATTGGTAAATTGGTAAATGAATGAACCATTCTGAGAAATTTTCTTAAAAAAAAAAAAAAAGGCCCTAATTGAATGAGAGAGATACATTTTCCTCCCTTAGCTTTCTAATTCCTGGAGTTAATAAATAGAAACATATATTTTCCCTAGAAAATAATACATTTGTTAAAACAGATTCAGCCTACTTTCATTTTCTATGTCAGCAAATGGTGAGGAAATAATGTTTTTAGTGTTCTAGATGATGTACTTTTCTAACATGTTTTTTATTTGTATGAAATAAAAACAGGATTATTTGGAAACAAATAGCTATCCAAAGTCACATAAAATATGTCTCTCATATTTTGCTTATCAGTTTCTGGTGGCAGGTGTCAATCTAAGCAGTACATTAGAATCACTTGGGGGCTTTTAAAAATCCCAATGCCAGGACCACACTCAGGGCAATTAATTCAGAATCTCTGAAGCTGGGACCTAGGCACCTTCACTTTTCTTTTTCTTTTTTTGGTATTAATTTTATTCTATTTTCTGTATAACTTTAAGTACATAAAGTTTTATTTCCACAGGCCTCAGGAAATGGGTAGAAATCACAGGACAATCTCTTTTCCCACCAAAAAAGTTGCATATTTTGGTAAGTGTTTGTCCTAGAGGGAAAAAACTGAAATTTACATTAGCAGTGCTGTGCAAGATTCTTACATAAATCAAGACCTAAAAGCAGCTTGCAGTGGAGGTTTTGGTCCCCTGTTCAGGTGCTTGGACAGAAGCCATAAGCTGGTGAGCATGACAAGGAAAAGGAGGCAGTGAAGACAGGTGACAGGCACCTAGCAGGGAAGGAGGATTCAGCTGTGCCAGACTCCTTGGAATGGTGTGTTGTTTTTCCTTTTTAAAAAAAATCTCTGTAGGAAGGTGCTGGGTAGGTATCCCAGAGAAAGAAAAGGTCCAATACTTCTTTAACTGCCCTGGATGAAGGGCACTGCTGTAGCAGCTAGTATCGGAGACTCTCCTATCTCATGGTTGAGGCAGACCTAGGATAGAATAGTGAATAAAAGGAATGCTTATAGGAAACCATTTTGCGTGGAATGCTAGATGGCCAAGCCTCAGCCTTCAGTCCAGTGCAACCCTTGCCTCACTTGTCAATAGTGAAAAATTAGTTTGGTTAGAAGAACCAGCTGGAAACACACCAGCTTCTGCTACCTTCATGCTCATCGTTAGAAAAAGATTAACCAGTGTGAACATTCTGATCTGTTAATTCCTTGGACTGTTTTCCTCCCAATGGACTGTTTGTTGGTAGAATAACCTCCAAAACTCAAAGCTAAAATGCATCATTTTAGCCTGGTCGGCAGTTCCTTAAGAATGGACTGGTGGCGTGGTTGAGCTAATATGGAAAAGCTACACCTTCCTACAGAAGATCACCTGACCTGCTATCCCACCGCAAATCTTAGCCTGAGGTATAATTCAGTGAAGGCAGGTAGCTGTGCTTCTCAGAGCAGAGAAGCAGTTTTAAGAGCAGAAAGGTAGAGGAAATCTAGAAAAGAACCGTCTTGATACAAATTTATCCCATGGTATGAAGGGAGGGCAAGGAACCCAGTGGCACTTTGCTTATCCAGCAATTTCTGAACTTCTGCCCATTCCAGAGGGTCTTGAACTGCTCAGGAACTGGGAATTCACTAAAGTCACTGCCTATTGTAGGAATGAGGACGTTCATCTCAGAAGATTTGGCACTCACTATTTCACAATCCAGAGAATTCTTGCTCAGGTAAGCATGGCAGCCATCTGTTTTGTTGATTGAAATGGTTGGCACTTTACTCATTACCTAAATTTTGACATCCCTACTTGTTGGGAGCAAGCCCCCCCCAAATCTGGCCATAAACTGGCCCCAAAACTGGCCATAAACAAAATCTCTGCAGCACTGTGATATGTCCATAATGGCCCTAATGCCCATGCTGGAAGGTTGTGGGTTTACAGGAATGAGGGCAGGGAACACCTGGCCTGCCCGGGGCGGAAAACAGCTTAAAGGCATTCTTAAGCCACAAACGAAAGCATGAGTTATCTGTGTCTTTAAGAGTGTGTTCCTGCTGCAGTTAACTAGCCTAACCTATTCCTTTAATTCGGCCCATCCCTTCGTTTCCCATAAGGGATACTTTTAGTTAATTTAATATCTGTAGAAACAATGCTAATGACTGGTTTGCTGTTAATAAATATGTGGGCAAATCTCTGTTCGGGGCTTTCAGCTCTGAAGGCTGTGAGACCCCTGATTTCCCACTTCACACCTTTATATTTCTGTGTGTGTGTCTTTAATTCCTCTAGCACCGCTGAGTTAGGGTCTCCCCGACCAAGCTGGTCTCGGCACCTACTGTTGATTATCTCCACAATGCCCACTATATCATCGAATACCAGACCAAATTTCTTACAGTTATCTACTGTAATGGAGTTAATTTTGCCCTTGATTTGCAATGTCATGTTGACACACTTGTATATGTAAGCTGTGTATTTCAGCTCTGTGTCATCAATCACCAGGTTGGAAACATTTTCCTGATTTTCCACTCTCCGCTTCTTGCCCTCCAGTTCAAGTACAGCTGGCTCTTTCTTTGTGGCTGGTTTGGGGTTTAGGTGCTGAGAATGGCTTGGGGACACTGCATACTGGACCACTCTGAGCCTTCAGGGTAGGGTTCTTGTGAGTCTTCATGTCATCAGATACATGTTTCAGGGCATGTGTGATGCTCTTCCCCTGATTAATCTGCGCAAACAGTGCTGAGAAGGAAGTGGATTCATCTGAGCCTGAACTGATAGAGACTAGTGGAGGAGGGGGGCCTGGTGGTGGGGGAGGAGTATCTGATCCAGCAGAGGGTCCAGATGGCAGTCCACTCAGTTCTTTTGCCACAGGCCCCGTTTTGCTCCAGGCTAGTCCGGTGGTATGGAACTCCTTAATGTAAGCCTACAGCTCTGTCCATATACTTAAATAAGCTTTGACCCAGTCTACATGCATCTTATCCACATCTTTGTACTCTTTAAGGACTCGGTTTGTATAAAACACTGCAGCATGATTCATTTCTTTCACATAAGGGCCAGGATTGGGAGCCATAGCCACCCAACCCAGGGCCTGGATACTTTTGCTGACAGCTGACAGGTGATTAAACAACTTGCTGCTTCGGTTCTTCTCCCGAAAGGTTATCACTTCTTTGATCTGTTCTGAGATGGGTGCCAACAAATCGGAAAGCTGCCGGCGGTTGACATTGAGAAGCTGTAACCAAGAGAGTTCACTTCAACTTCAAACCTGTGTGGACCATCTCCGCATCCTTCTGCACGTCTCCCCCAATCTCTTTACTGATCTTCAAGTACTCTGCCACAGGACAGGCAAGCGAGTCAAATGCCTGCGCATATGGAGCTGTTCCTGCTTTTGAAGCACTGTCTCCATACCCACGGTGCATGTCAGAGGTATGGGATACTGCCTCTAGGCAGCCCACTGCCCTGTCCAATTTTTCTACCAGATTTTGCATGTCAGTTATAATGTACCACCTCCCGATTGCTATCAGCCGCTCTCCACTTCCCGCACCTTCACTTTTCAAAGATTCCCAGGTGATGCCAACCTGCTCTGCGGATGGAGCCCCTAAGACTCCCGAGCGACGCAGACTACGTTTCCCAGAGGCCTCCGCGGCCGCAGCCACTTCCGCTTCCGGTCCGGTCCGCCCCCGCATGGGGCGAGAGCTGCACCAGCAGCTGGCTGGTAGCTACTGTCTGGACAGTGTGGCGTGGTCGCTGTCTCTCTGGGTGTGCAGCTCCGCAGCCCTGCCGGCTAGGTTTGGTTTGTCAGCGGCCGCCACCAGGCTGGGTCCCTGAAGCCTCGGGCCCCTGGCGGGTGCTCCCCGCCTTTCCCAGGGGCGGGTCGAGGGGGCGAGCCGGTGTGGGAGGGGACGGCGGCGGTGGGCAGGGCCTACCCACAGTGGCTGAGCCATGTGGAGCGACCGCCCGAGACTGGTGCATCACAGAGCGCTCCAGGCTTGCGCCTGGGAGACAGATTGGGCCACTGACAAGGCCGTCCCCCCGTGCTGCCAAAAGTGCTTGGCGTGGAGCTGGCTGCAGTCCAGGACGGATCCCAGCAGCCGTTCCCTTTCCTTTCTTCCCGAGCGTACCCACCTGGACCTGTCTGCCCACCCATGGAGGGAACGGGCGGGCGGGGGCCTGGTCCAGAGGGCAGATTCTAGCTAGGCTAGGGCACGGAGGGACTTCCTCATATTTCCTCTCTTCTTTCCCAGATTGACTTACGCAGGATTCTGTGCCCTTGCCTGGGAGAACAGTTCAGGAGACAGATGGCCCCAAGAGCCCAGATCCAGGCAAGTTTGATTTTTCCATTTCTTGAGAAGCCACGTGTTTCAGCGAGGTGGGGCTTATGCCTCTTGCTCAGACGATGCCCTTCCCTGTGTGTGGGCCAAGCTACCCGAACCAATCCTGAATGGGTCCCAGTATTTCCGTCCGCTCTACCCATTAGGTAGTCATTCACCAAATAGATTATTGCTACCCATGTTTTCTAGAGTGCTAGAAACAGAAAAGTACTTTGCAACCTGGCAGATGATGAAAAAAATACACATTATCATATAAAGACGGAGGCCATAAAGACACAGGGTGATAGCACTGCTATCTTGACCTTTAGTGTGTGGTGGGGTGGGAGGGGTGGAGTAGTGGGCGCCTTAGTTCTTCCTGAAGAATATAAATGAGATGCGTAATCGCAGAGGATACTAGGGGAAAGCGCTGCCTGAATGAAGTCATTATGGCGGAACCATGAACAAACTGGCCTGAGAAAGTTGGAAACATTCATGGTCTGGAATCCCAGACTGGAGTTTACCTTTATCCTGGAGAAAACTAGGTTTTGAAGGATTTTGAGAAACTGATTATATAGTTGGTATTTTGAAAGGAAGTGATAAACATTTGAGTATCTATTATAGAAGTAAATAAAATTTTAAAAATTAAAGATTAGCTACATTTCTACTGTTCTAACAAGTCAAGTAATTTCATTTGAAACACCTTTTGCATATTTTTAAGGCCCACTCTTTTTTTCTTTTAATATTTCATAACCATTCCAATTTGTTCTAGTTTCATTCCTCCTTTTTATAGCTTCCTTTTATACTGTACCTTCAACCAGCCCTGGGACCTTGAGCAAGTTCTTCCAACTCTCTGAACCTTTGTGTCTTTAGCTACAAAATAGATTTTACTTTATATAGTTATGGCAGAAATTTAGAGAGATGATATATATCTCAGGGTTTAGCACCGTGGCTGGTACCTAGTAAGTTGTTACTGTTATGAAAAGCAATTTTTTTTTCTTTTTTAAAAATATTCTGCCCCAGAGTTAGATCATACTCCCTGTAAATTTTCGGATAAAGCTAATCACTTTCCATGTCTTTTCAAAGTTTCTATTCATTTGTTGATGGAACAAAGCCTGAACACTTTTGTGTCAGGCCGTGTTTTTGACTGGAGGCAGCAGTGACCCACACTGTCCCCCTGGAGCTCACATTAGAGAGGATACTTACAGTCAGTGCAAACCTCCTGCCAGGTGGTGAGAAATCCTGTGAAGAAAAATGAAGTGGGTTTCGAGACAGAGTGGCAGAGGATGGGGTGGAGAAAGAGACCTTTTTGATGAGGTGACATGAAGGGTGGGGTGAGCAGAGGCCAGGCATGGAGGAGGAAGCAGGACAGGCATGCAGGAAGAACAGGCTTGACAGAGGAGTCACACCTCCCCCCAGCCCTCAGCTTTTACTTGTTCGTTTCCATGAGCACCATTGGAACTGTCAGAAGCTGGCTTTGACCACCTTGCTTCCTTCTCTTGGGATGCTTCCCTCAGGGGTTCCTGGATGACCAGAATTGGGTTTGGTTTTGCAGGGACCGCTGACATTTGGGGATGTGGCCGTGGCCTTTACCCGGATTGAGTGGAGACACCTGGATGCTGCTCAGCGGGCCCTGTACAGGGATGTGATGCTGGAGAACTATGGGAATCTGGTGTCTGTGGGTGAGGATGACTTTCTCCTTGACTCAAGATTGGTCTGCTGGGCAACTTTGTGTTTTCACAGGGTGAATGGTTTGGGGTATTGAAAAAAATCTTAAATGATGTGCTTTTTGTTTTGTTTTTCTTAAGTGTGGGCTTAGAGGCTGGAGTTTATGCCCCTTCCACCCCTCAAGAAAGGTCAGAGCCATACAGAGTTAAGATGGGTAGCTTTGTGGTACCAACTAGCCCAGTTCTGGAACGTTTCTGTGTCATGATTCATCTGCCTCCCAAAATAGGAGTTTCTTTTCCTCCAGGAGGACCTGGTTTTCTAATTGACTTTGCCCCCTTCATTTGCTTTACTGCATGAGTTGGACATCCTGGGTGCCACCCTCGAGGCCTCTCTGACCTGTCCATGCTCCTTGCAGATGCTCAGGTTGACACTGAGGTCTGGAGTGACTGCTTGTGCTTGTAACCACCATCACATTCCTTTTCATTCATTTTTTTTTTCTTCTTCTAAGATCCTTTTTCTTTATGAACAGGGCTTCTCTCTTCTAAACCAAAACTAATCACTCAGTTGGAGGAAGGGGCAGAGCCCTGGATGGAGGTGCGAGAGGCTCCATCAGGCACACGTGCAGGTGAGTGGGTGGGAAACATCCCAGCAGCAGCGGAGCACACGGAACGGTACGGGGGCTCCTGAGTGGAAAGCTCATCTCTGAGTGCCTTGTCGGTGCAGAAGGACACTAGTTTCCTTTTTTGATGTCATCCTCCTGTCAAGTGGCTGGCTGCTTTTCTCCCCAGTCTTTCTGTACTTGGGAGGGCTGCTCCCTTCCTGAGGGCCTCAGGCCCATCTGTGCCATCTCCCAGCCCTCTGAAATCCTCAAGCTCTTTATGTGATTTTTCTCTCTCTCTTTCCAGGCATTCACCAGGCTATCTTTCGTTTCTTTCTACTTCTGGTCCATTTCCTTTCTTTTATATTTTTTGAGACAGAGTCTTGCCCTGTTGCCCAGGCTGGAATGTAATCATAGCTTACTGCAAACTCAAACTCTGGACTCAAGCCATCTTCCCACCTCAGGCTCCTGAGTAGGAGTAGCTGGGACTACAGGCGTGCACCACCATGCTTGCCTAATTTTTAAATTTTTATTTTATGTAGAGATGGAGTCTCGCTATATTAGTCACAGCTGGTCTCGAACTCCTGGCCTCAAGTGATCCTTCCACTTTGGCCTCTCAATGTGCTGGGATTACAGGTGTGAGCCACCACGCCTGGCCACTGTTCATTTTCCATTCCTTACCCGTTCTCTCTCATGGAAGCTTGCTAACTCACTATATACCACTTCCCGGTGGTAGTTGCAGATTCCAAATGTAAGCATGATTTTCTAGCTCTCAGGTAATTGCGATTTTTGGCAAACACATTGTTGGGGAAGCATTTTCTTTCCTTTTCTTACGGATCTTCTTTTATTTCTCTTTTCTACTGTCCTTTGCACTTGGCTCCCATTTTTTTCTGTGTATGCTTTGTATATGTTTCTCTATGTCACTTTCTCTGTGCCATAGTTCCTTTCTAAATCTCTAAGCCTGAATATTTCTCTCACCTAAAATATTTATCCTGCCAGTATTTCTTCTTCTAAAACTCTAATTGTCATTTTGCCTCTGTCATCTTCAGGAGAATGTTTATAACTGTATTTCATGTAAAATACCAGTAATACAGAGTCTTGCTTAACCTAGGTTTTTGTTGTTTGTGGGTGGGATGCTTTTGAAGTAATTCCTTCTATTCTTACTATGTTTAACATTTCCCTGTAAATTCTTGTGTAGATTCTTTATATAGTAACAAAAGTCACTCAGTCGTCTTTATTCTCTGTTCTTTGTTTTAATTTTGGTTGTTATTTGAAATAGAATGTTTAAACCTTAGAGGTAATGAAAACAAGCAATGTTTCCCCTAATATTTCTTTCATCTGCTTAGAGGACTAGTAAATCTTTCTACAAAGACTTCACAACCATTCAGTATTTTATGGTTTTTTTTGTGTGTGTATGTGTATATATTTCCCTTTCTGTTAGTTGTTAGACATGCTTATGGTACCACATTCAGATGGTTCAAATGGTATGCAGTCTCCTTCACATACCTTTCTCATCACTCAGTTCCCCTCCCCAGAGGCATCCCTGTATCAGTTTCTTGTGGAGATTTGTGTATGTGATGTGTACTTTGTGAGAGTATCCATGAATTCTTTAAGCATATGGTAGCACACTCTTTTGCCTGTTACTTTGGCATTTATGTCTTAGAAGTCATTTGACATAACTATATTGTTTAGAGCTTCTCTCTCTCTCTCCTCTGTCCCTCTCTTTCTTTCTTTTGGAAACAGAGTCTCACTCTGTTTTCTAGACTGAAGTACAGTGGCTTGATCATGGCTCACTGCAGCCTTGACTTCCTGGGCTCAAGCGATCCTCCTGCCTCAGCCTCCTGAGTAGCTGGGACCACAGGAACATGCCACCACACCTGGCTAATTATTTTTAATTTTATTTATGTATTTATTCTTAAATTTGTTTTTGTAGAGATGAGATCTCACTATTTTGTCCAGGCTGGTCTGGAACTTGTGGCCTCAAGCTGTCCTCTTCCCTCAGTTTCCCAAAGTACTGGGATTACAGGTGTGCGCCACCATGCCAGCTTATCTTTCTTTTTAATGCCTGCGTAGTGTTCCACTTTATGGATGTCCTATAATTTATGTAATCAGTTCTCTTTAGTG